GGCAGGGCTGAGTGAGGAGGAGGAGGAGGAGGAGGAGGAGGAGGAGGAGGAGGAGGAGGAGGAGGAGGAGGAGGAGGAGGTGGCGACTTCCGAGGGAAAGCGTGCCGGGCGCGGCGGCCCAGGGGGCGGTCGTGCCTCCATCGCGGGTGCTCCGCAGAGGGGGGGCTTCTGTGTGGGGGTGCCTGCAGGCGCCCGCCCCTCAGCTTCGCTCCGCCCGGAATTGGCCGAGCTTGCAGCTCAGCCTGCGGCTCACCCTCGTCCACAAGGCGCTCTCGCCGGTCCTGGGTGACCTGTCGGGGGCCACATGCGAACCCTGCCCCTACCCCCCACGATTTCTGAGGGGGAGGGTGGGGTTCAATTCGTTCAGGAGCTCCCGAGCGAAGTGAACCCCACCCTCCCCTTCAGAAATCGTTGGGGTAGGGGTAGGGTTCGCATGTGGCCCCCTAAACCTGGATCCAGACGTGGCCTGGCCGAGACGATTGTGGGACCCTCTGTGCACAGCAGTGCCAACTCTGGTGAGGCCGGCCTGTGCTAGGCCCAATTTGGCGGTGTCCTGGTGCTGTTTTTTCGATTCGAACTGTCGGTCCAAGCTGAGCAGTCGAGGGTACTCTAAACCACCGCATACATACAGCTGTCTACCAACCCAACATGTGCACTCTTTGCTTATAGTATTTTCGCTCACGCCTCCACCCGATCATTCTAATATCCTAGCGAGAGTACTCCAACTCCTGACCATTAACGCCTGACGCCGAACGCATCAGGACTCCTTTCAACATCGCAGCGGTAGCGAGTATCATCAAGAGCACCGCTGCGAGGACCTCTCGTGGAGAGACCTCTCCTGAAAGATACCTCCCCTGGAAGGCCCCAAATCTGACGTCGCAGAGTCGTCCCCCCAGTGAGCACTGCGAGATTCTGCAGTGTAAGTCGAGATCCCGCTGGGACGCATTGCGCGAATGGGACGCATCGACAGGAGCGGCAAGGATGTCTCGCACGGCGGATCAGATCGGCCGACGACGACTCAGGACGCAGTGCAGGACGCGCCCGCTGGCACAAGGCTTGCTCGGTGCGACTCGCGAGCAGCCCCCCCCCAAGGGGCCAAGGGGTGTGTAGTGGAGCATGGCGAGGCCTTGGGGAGTATGGGCCAGACAGGAACACAGCCAGCGGACAGGACTACGGCCAAGACGCTAAAACAAGGAACAGTTCGAGCTCGGATGGGGATCCGCTGTCCCTAGACTCTTTCCACGGTCGTTCCTCTGGCACTCCTTGTGCACCCAGGCGCTTTTGGGGCCAAGAAGGGGCTTCTTTCCTTATCAGAGTGAGGGTGCCCGAACGGTCTTACTTCATCCCTGGGCGTGCGTTGCCGTTGCTGGCCCGTTCCTGCTCGACGGGGGGTCCTGGGTTGGGAGTCTTGGGCAGGGGGTCCTGGGCGGGGGGTCCGGGCGGGGGGTCCTGGAGGGTCCTGGGCGGGGGGTTCTGGGCGGGGGGGTCCTGGGCGAAAGCTTTCGGCGAGAGCGCCGCCGCACCCTCACTCTTGTCCGCAGGTGCGGGGTGCTGCGTCTAGAGCTCCTTCTGGCAGCAGCCTGACCGCAGACGGGGGCCCTGGGTGATGGGCGCGGCAGCAGCCTCCAGGCCGAAGACGGAGCGACGCAAGTCCGCGAGGAGCGACGGCGCGCCCTCGCAGGTGGCGGCTCCGCCCGGGGTCCATTTCGATCCGATCGATCCAATCCGCGTCGTCGTCTTCGTCGTCGTCGTCGTCGTCGTCGTCGTCGTCGTCGTCGTTGTCGCCGCCGCCGCCGCCGCCGCCGCCTCGTCGCCGTCGCCGTCGCCGTCGCCGTCGTCGCCGTCGTCGCCGTCGTCGCCATCGTTCCCCGGAGCTCCCCGGAGCTCCCTGGTTCCTTGCCTTCCAGCGCTCTTTCCACACGGTTCGCCCTCCGGGGCCGAGTCGGCCCTGAGCGGCCCGCTTCGCTTCGATGCCGAGGTTCGTGCGGTCCCATGCTGCCCGATGCTTGCAGGGTGCTTTCGTGCCTCCTGGCGCCGCCGGTCCGGTTCGATCCCGATTCCGAGCCGATGCGGTCTGGCGACCGCTGGTTTCGCCGACGGCTGGTTTCGCCCGGCTGGTTTCGCCCGGCTGGTTTCGCCCGGCTGGTTTCGCCGCCCGGCGAAAGCAGCTCCGTGGGCGAAACCAGCTCCGCCGTCGACGAAGCCAGCTGCCGTCGGCGAAACCAGCTGCCGTCGGCGACACCAGCTGCCGTCGGCGAAACTGCCCGACCCGACCCGCCCACTTAGGGTCCGCCCGCCCGACCCGACCCGCCTGTTAGGGTTCGCGCGTGCTCGGTCGAGCGCGCCCCACACTTTAATGTCCCGTCCGCCCGACCCGACCCGCCCATTACAGTTGGGTGCGGCAGTTCGGCCAACTTCTCCTGGGTTCTTCGTGACAAGGGTTTTTGGGAGGTTTTTTGGAAGGTTCCAGGAATCCTGGATTCTTCGTGACGGGGCTTGTCGGAAGGTTTTTTGTTGAAGGTTTTTGGAAGGTTTTTGGATGGCTTTTGGTTCGAAGGTTTTTGGCAGATTTTTGGATAGTTTTTTTTCGGTATCACGACGCGTTTTTTGGAAGGCTTCTTTTGAGGGTTTTGGACAGGTTTTTGGAATGTATTGGTCGGTTTCGCTACATTTTTGTTTTTTATTGTTTTTCTTTGGTTGGTTTGAAGTTTTTTGGGCGTTTTTTTTTGGCCGGTTTTTAGGTTTTTTGAAGGTTGTTTGGAAGGTTTTTAGAAGGTTTGTGGAAGGTTGTTTGAGAGGTTTTTGGTAGGTTTTCGGACAAACCTTACAAGATACCCTGTAAAACCCTCTGCGCGAAGAACCCAGGATTCCTTGGACCTTCCAAAAAAACCCGTCCAGAAACCTTCGTCGCGAAGAACCTAGGATTCCCAGAACCTTCCAAATTCCGTCACGAAGGTTTTTGGCAGGTTTTGTGGCCACCCCCTCTTGGATTCGTCGTGACGAGGGCTTTTGGAAGGCTTTCTTTGAGGTTTTTGGAATGTTTTTGGCATGTATTGGGCGGCTTCGCTAAATTTTGGAAGTTTTTTTTTGTTTTTTTTTTTTGTTGATTGATTTTTTTGGAAGGTGCGGGCGTTCCGACGAACCCCTCCTGGATTCTTCGCGACGAGGGTTTTTGGAAGGTTTTTTGGAAGGTCCCAGGAATCTTGGATTCTTCGTGACGAGGTTTTTTTTGGAGGGGGAAGTTTTTAATCCAAGAAGGTTTTTTGTTGGAAGTTTTTGTTTTTGAGCGTTTATGAAAGGATTTTGGAATGTATTGTGCGGTTTTGGTGGAAGGTTTTGGGAAGGTTTTTGACATGTTTTTGTTCGGAAGGTTTTGGTAAGGTTTGCGGAAGGTTTTTTGGAAGGTTGTTAGGAAGGTTTTTGGACGGTTTTCGGAACAAAGCCTTACAAACAACCTTCCAAAAACCTTCGTCACGAAGAATCCAGGATTCCTGGGACCTTCCAAAAAAACCTTCCAAAAACCCTCGTCGCGAAGAGTCCAGGATTCCCGGAACCTTTCAACACAACCCTTCCAAAAACCTTCGTCGCGAAGAATCCAGGATTCCCGGAACCTTGCAAAAAACCTTCCAAAAACCTTCGTCGCGAAGGTTTTTGGAAGGTTTTGTGGCCAACCCCTCTTGGGTTCTTTGTGACGAGGGCTTTTGGACTTTTTTTTTTTGGGGGGGGGGGGGAAAAAGGTTTGTTGGATGGTTTTTGTTGGAAGTTTTTTGTTTGAATGTTTTTGGAAGGTCTTTTGGAAGGTTTTTTTGTTGAAGGTTTTTGGAAGGTTGTTAGGAATGTTTTTGGAAGGTTGTTGGAAGGTTTTTGGAACAAGCCTTGCAAAACAGCTTGCGAAAACCTTCGTTGCGAAGAATCCAGGATTCCTGGAACCTTCCAACAAAAACCTTCCAAAAACCTTCGCCGCGCATGTTTTTGGCAGGTTTTTTCGTCAACCCCTCCTGGGTTCTTCGCGACGAGGGTTTTTGGAAGGTTTCTTTGGCAGGTTTTTGGCAGGTTTTTGGAAGGTTTTTTGTTGAAGGTTTTTGGAAGGTTGTTTGGAAGGTTTTTTCTCGGAAGGTTTTTGGAAAGTTGTTGGAACAACCTTCCAACAACCTTCCTCGCCCCCCCCCCTCCCCACGGGAAAACTTTACAAAAAACGTTTCTCACGAAGAATCCAGGAGGGGTTCGTCGGAACTCCCGCACCAGTCTCGCCCATTAGGGCCCGCCTGACCCGTCCCGTCCCGCCTGCTAGGGTCCGCCCGCCCGACCCGACCCGCCCGCTCGATCGAGCGCGCCGCACACTTTAATGTCCCGCCCGCCCGACCCGACCCGCCCGTCAGGGTCCGCCCGCCCGACCCGACCCGACCCCTCTGGTAGGGTCGCCCGACCGACCCGACCCGCCCGTCAAGGTCCGCCCGCCCGACACGACCCGTCCCGCCCGCTAGTGTCTGCCCGCCCGACCCGACCCGTCTGTTAGGGTTCGTGCGTGCTCGGTCGAGCGTGCCCCGCACTTTAATGTCCCGCCCGCCGGGCCCGACCCCCCCGTCAGGGTCCGCCCGCTCGACCCGACCCGACCCGCCCGCTAGGGTCCGCCCACCGACCCCGACCCGCCCGTTAGGGCTCGCGTCGGCGAAACCAGCGCCGGCGAAACCAGCGCCGGCGAAACCAGCGGGGCGAAACCAGCGGGGCGAAACCGGCGCCGGCGAAACCAACGCCAGCGAAACCAGCCGTCGGCGAAGCCAGCGGGGCGAAGCCAGCGCCGGCGAAACCAGCCTATGCCTGCGGTCCGAGTCGATGCATTTTCCGATCCGATCCGATTCCCCACTTCGATGTTGACTGTTCCGGGCGGGGCTAGGACAAAGGTAAGTTCTGGAACGCTCTGAGAAGGCCGCGGCGCCCGATACATCCTGCCAGACCTCAGAGATTCTCGATGGATCCTTGCCCGAATTTGCCCTCGCCCTGGCTTCGTCTTACCTCGGCGTCACCCCAACACACTGATACTATGCGTGCGTCGCCCCCAGAATGGCGACGCGCGCACCGAGAAATCTTGTAGTATCTAATTTCCTTCGGCCCATCCCGCCACCGTGCCTTGGTTGTGGGTTTGAAGCTTATTGGATGTTTGTTGGGATCTCGTGGGAGGCCTCTCGGGGGCCTTTTGGAGGCAGTTTGGAGGCCTCTTGTGGGCCGCTTCGGGGCCTGAAGTTTGCCAACATCTCCACAACACTGTACACTCGTCGCGTGCAAACGTGTTGCAAGATACAGGACATACAACTCACATCCTTTTGGTTATGAATTTCAGAGCATGCCCCACTTTGAGGGCACCCCTGGTCCTGTCCGTCTCTGGCTCATCTGCCCACCCCAGCGTTCGAGCAGTGCCGATGATGGGCACCGTCGTCAGACTAGACGCTCCTGCCTTAAGGGCTGCAGGACGGCGCTGTCACGAACTACACTCGTTTCCGATTGCGTGTAGCGTCTGCTTTGTTCTCAGGTTGAGCCACCGACATAGCAGGAACTGCCTTCGGAGAAGGGAGGACACAACTCGCCCCTCTTTCGTGACATCGCGGCCTCTCCCGGCTGTCAGAGCGGGTACTGACCACTGCACAGGGGTGTGAGCCACCTGACCCTTGTAGTTAGGCGCCCGTGGGGCCATTCGTAATACGGACAGGGTGCACCTGCGACGTCCTTTTTTGTGGCGACCATTGCTAAACATTCTGTCTGTCAGGACGCACCTGTGACGCCCCTTGTCGGAGGCGACGAAACGAGCTGGACAAGACTGCTGCGGCTGCGCCGCTGCGGCGGCCTGCGGCTGTGGCTGGGGCTGCTGCGGCTGCGCTGCTGCTGGTGCGGCGCCTGCACGGCGCTGCTGCTGGTCTCGAGAACGGCCACAGCAACGGCACAATAACTCAACGATCACTCGAGAGATCCGCCAGAGTCTAGCTCTGGCGTGCTGAGCACTCGCGCCATGCCGAAGTCGAACTCGGGAGAGACTTTCGGCTGATAACCCGTGGTTTGCCCACCACCACAATATTGTAAACTCTTCGCATACAAACGTCTTGAAAGACACGAGACACAACTCACATCCTTGTGGTTACGGACTTCAGAGCATGCCCTCTTTGAGGGCACCCCTGGTCCTGTCCGTCGCCGGCTCATCTGCCCACCCCAGCGTGCGAGCAGTGCCGATGATGGGCACCCTCTTCACACTAGACGATCATGCCTTAAGGGCTGCAGGACGGCGCTGTCACGAACGACGCCCGTTTCCGATTGCGTGCAGCGTACGTAGCTTTGGGAGAAGGGATGAAACAACTGGGCCTCTTGGGGCTTCTTTTGCGCCTCTTGGGGGTTTCATGGGGCCTCTTGGGGGCCTCTTGGGGGCCTCATGACCAAGAATGCTCGAATTTTCGGTTCGTGTTCCCTCTCTTGGGCCCCTTTTGGGGCCGTCTTGGGGCCCTCTTGGGCCGTTTTGGGCACCCCTCGGGCCGTCTTGGGCCCCTCCTGGGCCGCTTTGGGGCCTTGTTGGAGGTCTGGGAGTGTCGGGGAGCCAAAACGGCGAGAACGCCCAAATCCTTGAAATTCTTTTGGAACAAATGATTTGGGGCTCTTGGGGCCCTCTGGGAAGACCTCTTGGAGGCCTCTTGAGGCCTCTCGGGCCGCCTGGGGGCCATCTTGAGCGCCTTGGAGCGATCGTTCGGCGACCCGGGGACCCTCTCGGACCGTCTTTGGGCCTGGCATCGCTCGGACGCGTGCATTTTTTCCTCGGCGAGAACCATCGAGGAGCATCCTTGGTCATTTGGCGACAAAGCCACGCACGAAACCGAACAAACATTAGCCTGGCGAAGGACCCAACCATATGCAGTTGTGGGTATCGCATTCGTGGGAGCCCCGTATGGGGCCACGAAACGCTGTACTGGGTGGGGGGGACGCATGCGAACTGCGCCACTGGGACCTTCGGTGGAGCTCCCTATGGGGCCACGAACCGCTGCCCTGGGTGGGGGGGAACGCATGCGATCTGCGCCACTGGGGCCTTCGGTGGAGCTCCCTATGGGGCCACGACACGCAGCCCTGGGTGAGGGAACCGCATGCGAGCTGTGCCACCGGGACCTTCGGTGGAGCTCCCTATGGGGCTACGAGACGCTGCCCTGGGTGGGGGAATCGCATGCGGGCTGTGCCACTGGGACCTTCGGTGGAGCTCCCTATGGGGCCAGGGGGAACCGCATGCGGGCTGTGCCACTGGGACCTTCGGTGGAGCTCCCTATGGGGCCACGAAGCGCTGCCCTGGGTTCGGTGGAGATGGGGCCAAACCGCTGCCCTGGGTGGGGGAACCGCATGCGGGCTGTGCCACTGGGACCTTGACCCTATGGGGCTACGAAACGCTGCCCTGGGTGGGGAAACCGCATGCGGGCTGTGCCACTGGGACCTTCGGTGGAGCTCCCTATGGGGCTACGAAACGCTGCCCTGGGTGGGGGAACCGCATGCGGGCTGTGCCACTGGGACCTTCGGTGGAGCTCCCTATGGGGCTACGAAACGCTGCCCTGGGTGGGGGAACCGCATGCGGGCTGTGCCCACTGGGACCTTCGGTGGAGCTCCCTATGGGGCTACGAAACGCTGCCCTGGGTGGGGGAACCGCATGCGGGCTGTGCCACTGGGACCTCCGGTGGAGCTCCCTATGGGGCTACGAAACGCTGCCCTGGGAAGGGGAACCGCATGCGGGCTGTGCCACTGGGACCTTCGGTGGAGCTCCCTATGGGGCTACGAAACGCTGCCCTGGGTGGGGGAACCGCATGCGGGCTGTGCCACTGGGACCTTCGGTGGAGCTCCCTATGGGGCTACGAAACGTGGAGGGTGTGCCGAGAGCAGAGGCAAGGAGGGGGAGGAGGAGGAGGGCGAGGAGGGGGAGGAGGAGGAGAGGAGGTGGGACGCGGGGCGCTGTCTCTTCAAAACGAGGACCCAACACCACAGGATGGTTGGGAAAACAGGGAATGGACGTCCGAGCGATGGCGAGTGGGGGGCCTTCTCGAGGCTCTCTCGGCCCGTCCTTTGGGGGGCCCCCCCCGGGCCCAAGAAGGAGTCCCGCGGCGAGGTGCGGCGGGGAGCCCCGGGGGGCACGCGCGAAGCTCCTGGGAGCTTTGGGAGCGAGGGGCCCAGGCCCCTCAAAAAAAGGCCCTCTTGAGCGAGGATAGGGGGCCACGTGCGAGCCCTGCCCCCGCCCCCCACGAGTTCGGAGGGGGAGGGTGAGGTTCGCTTCGCTCGGGAGCTCTCGAACGAAGGGGAGGGAGGGGTCCAGGCCTTTGTGGGCCCTGGAAACGGCAGGGCCGTTTTTTTTTGCCGTTTCTAATAAAAATGTCCCTGGAAAATGGGAACGGCAAAAAAAAAAGGCGACCGGAAGCGGCAAGAAAAACGGCTCCAGGATTGGAACCGGAGCCGGAACCGGTCAAAGAACGGCGACGGAACTGGTGAAAAAACGGCGTCGGAACTGGCAAAGAAAACGGCAGAACGGAACCGGTAAAAAACCGGCCCTGTCGTTTCCAGGGCCCACTGAGGTCCAGGCCCCTTAAAAAAGAGTCCTCTTGAGCGAGGAGTGAGGCTCAGAGGCCTGTGCAGAAGACTCGAGGGCGCGTCCGCTCCGTGCCCGGCGGCTCGGCGGCGGATCTGCTCGGTGGTGGGCGCCTCCTGGCCGTGCCGCTCGGGAAACTATTTTTATTACACTCTGGTTGTGCTGTAATTATTGTCGGGTCGGGCGCACGCCTCCGAGGAAGACACATCGTCCTATGATGTCCTTTTGCGTCCCGTGGCCGTCCCTGCCGCCCCAGTACCAGTACCAGCTGCCCACCGCCGCGTCCATGGTCGCCGCCCCGCAGGCCGGGCTGCAGAGCGCGCCCTCGATGGTGGACGGGGGGTGGGAGGGGCAGACGGGGAGGCGCAGCCCGCTGTGCCAGGCCTTCGGCGCAGGCCCGGTGGTGACGCAGCCTTCTCTTCCTCCTCCTCCTCGCACATGTTTTTTTTTTTTTTTTTTTTTTTTTGTTTATTTAATTTTTGTTTTGCATCGGCTTGACAGAGTCACTGCACTTGCGGAAGATCAATCACAACGGGGATACCGTTGAAGCGAATTGTCCCACCATGCAGGGAAACTGGGGGGAGGCAGGGAGGGAGGCCGAAGGAGGAGAGAGAGGGAGCCCTCCTCGCACACCCGTGTAGGACATTTGCAAGCCAACGTTTCACGGATTCCCATGGTCAGCGTGCCAGAAACGGTGTTTTGTGGAAGGTTTCAGGATTGTGAGGGCGCAACAGTTAGGTTGATTCGCGGTGTGGAAGTCACAGGAACAGTGTTTTGGTACGATTCCAGATCGCCAAGACGCAGCAGTCATGTTGATTCGTGGCGTTGGAGTCCCGAGAATGGTGTTTTGGCACACTGCAGGTTCTTCAATGGGTTGTCTCCCAACGAGGGGGACCCCTTAGCGGCAACGATTCCTTGTAGGGGCCTATGAAGAGGGAGCTTGGAGGGAGGGTTTGTTCCAACATCGTCGATGAGTGTTTGGTTCGCACTGGTCCTCCTCCTCCTCCTCCTCCTTCGCGTCGAGGCAAGTTCGAGGTCTGTTGAGCACCCCCCTGGGCATGATCGCGCCGGCCAGAAGAAGTCACGACGGGAGGTCTTCGGCCACTTTCGGCCCTCTGGGGCCTTCGCTGGCCCCTGAGGTCAGCGAGCGAAGAACGGTGTAACATAAACTTTCCTCCGTCGGAGACACCTGCCCCAGGGCGGCTGGAAAGTTTATACCCCTACGGTGCCACCGTAAGGGTATAAACTTTCCAGCCGCCCTGGGACAGGCGCCCCCGACAGCGAAAAAGTTTATTTTACACCGTTCTTCGCCCGTTAATAAGGGGCCGTCAGAGAACGCCGTCAGGCGGAAGAGCTGGTCCTGGGGAATGGGTCGGGATTTCCAGGGGCCCGTGCCGGGAAAAGTCAGGACAGCGCGCGTCTGGGCCATGGGGGCGGCGTGCCCGGGGGGAGGCCTTTGCAGAAGGCGGCGGGGCTTCTCAGAGGCCCTGCGGCCTGCTGAGAAGTCCTCTGCGTCTTCGGGGGAGGCTCAGGGAGCTTCTCAGAAGGCCCGAGGCCTTCCGAGCCTGCCGAGAAGGCCCGCTCCTTCCCACTCCCACCCCAGGCTCGCTGCCGATGTTGAGCACCCAGGGGTCTTGGACGGTCGCGCATCTTATGTCAGGTTGCCAGCCGAGAGCCTCGACGGAGCACAGAACGATGATCTGGCAGTCGAGGAGATCATCGCATTACGACAGGGGAAGCGCCGCCCAAGCAGCTCCAGAATTCGCGGTACGCTGATTGCCGAAACGAGCGCGCCGCCAACATGGATTAGAAATCTGCCTTCAAACTGCGTCGCCCAAACTGCCAGAGCCCCCTTTGTGCGCGGCAAAGATGCAGACCTCCGTAGGACTTACAATATTCATGGGAGCCTTGGGCGGCGACATTGAAATCAGCTTTGCCCGCATTTGGACCGCATTTGGCCCTTCCTCCTGCTCCTCCTCGCTCTTCCTGTTCCTCTTCCCCCTCCTCGTTCTTCTCGTCTTCTTGTGGAGGTGCGATTCCAGTCCAACTCCAGTCCCACCCGTGTTCCAAACCAGGCCCAAATCGGACAGCGCCCAGGGCCACGGGGACACAGAGGCTCCCACGGAGCAGACCCCAGAGGCAAAAGAGGGCCTTCGGCAGCGCTCGGCCTCTGGGGGCCCTTCCGCAGGCCCTGGGGGCCGTGAAGGAGCGGCTCAGCACGAAACGCCTGCTGCAGGGAAGGGGTCGGACCTGGGTGAGCGTTAAACAAACCACGACGTCGGGGCCTGGGACCTGGTGCCTCCCAAAATGAAGTATTGCAGAGACCAGGCGGTCAACAGGCAGGTCCTCTTAGAGATGGGGCGACCCTCTCCGCACTCGATGCAGTTCCGCTCTCTGTTGCAACGAACTCGTCTGCAGGCCTCACTTCCGAAGCGTGGCATCGCCTGCCCCCGAGGGGACCGCTCGAGCAACCAGAGCCGGCGCGCAAGCCGAGCCGAGCCGCCACGCCTCCACAGGCCCAGAAGGGGCCGGCGGGGGCGTGGCGGTGCTGGCAGGCTCGCCGGAGCAAGAGGCCATGATGGCGGTGCGGTCCGAGCGCTCCTGTTGCTCCGCGCGGGCTCCGGGCACGAGGGCCGCCAGGTGCGCCCGCATCCCCGAAGCGCACCCCGAGCCCATCGCACCATCACGCCGCTCTCGTTCCAGCTGCCGCCCCGCCCCGGGCGGGGCGGCGCGGCAGAGGCGGGGCCGACCGCTCGAGCGTCCGCCCCGGGCCACCCGAGGGGGCGCGGAGCCGACCAGGCGTCGCGCTCCGCGTTGCTTCGAGGCGGCGGCGCGGTGGCGCGAAGGTGTGCTGCGCACCGCGGGGCGCCGTGCGCAGGGCTGCACACGCCGGTCGCTGCAAGCAGGTCGTTTGGAAATCTCCCAGGCCCCACTCCGCTTCAGCGCGCCTGCCTGCCTCACAGAGATGGAGCGGCTTCTCTCTCGGAGGGGCGCCAACTGTATACACCAGCGCCAGCCCTGGCCGGACACTGCCTGGGCACTGGATCGGTGCACGGACCTCCTAGCTTGGGCCAGAAAAGGCCTGTACACCAGTCCAGGGCCCACGACAGGCCTAGGAGGAGGAGAAGGAGGAGGAGGAGGAGGAGGAGGAGGAGGAGGAGGAGGAGGAGGAGGAGGAGGAGGAGGAGGAGGAGGTATTGTTTGTAGCTCTCCGATTCTCTCTTCGCTCCCCTGCTCGGGGCGGGCGGAGAGATCCAGCCTGCTTCCGACGCCGTCCTGCTCCATGCTTCTGCCTGCCTTGTCCGACCGACATTAAGTCGGACCCGTTTTTCTACGGGAGGAATGTTCGAAAATAGTCAAACATAGAGTCTGGGGACTGTTTTTGGAGTATCTTTTGACCATGTGGGCGCATTTATTGAGTACTTTTATGTTTAGTCGAAAATCCCCCCCGTAGGGGGACGCCCGCCTTAACGCCAGTGTTGGCCCACCACTCATCGGCTCGGCACACGCATCACGCCCCAGGCCCCAAGTTCGGTGGCAGCTCTAGCCTCGTGTGTCCTCGTGCTTCCCTTCTCCTGTTGCGCGTAATTTAGGCCGCCGCTTAGCTTGTTGCGCCCTTGGACGCCGCCCGACTGCTCTCGGCGCGGTCGCGACTAAAAAATGTCCTCGTGCTTACGTCTCGAGAGTGCACTCGCGTGCTCCAGCGTCTGGTGATCGATGAGGAATCGCCCATTTGGCGTCGATCAACGTCGGTTCGCGATGGGCGTCGATTCGCGTCGATGGGCAAGAACCAGCAAGATGGCATGGGAGGCTCCCATGAGTTGCCAGAGAACCCAAGCATCAACGTCACGATATTGTAGTGGCCTCCGGCCAGTGCCGCCGATCCGGGGCGCTCCTGATGATGTTGTTGTTGTTGTTGTTGTTGTTGTTGTTGTTGTTGTTGTTGTTGTTGTTGTTGTTGTTGTTGTTGTTGTTGTTGTTGTTGTTGTTGTTGTTGATGATGATGATGATGATGATGATTCGGATGATTCGGATGATGATGATGATGATGATGATGATGATGATGATGATGATGATGATGATGATGATGATGATGATGATGATGCTGATGATGATGATGATGATGATGATGATGATGATGATGATGATGATGATGATGCTGATGATGAGGATGATGATGATGATGATAGTGATGTGACGATGGTGCTGATGATGGTGATGGAGATGGTGGTGACGTCACGAGATCTTCCCAGCCTCCGGCCCCGGGCAGCGGAGCGACGCGCTATCAACCCGCAGGTCCACTGCGTGTCGCCAGGGCCGCCGCCGCGACACGCCGAGCAAAAATTCCTGACCGCAGGTGGCCCAGATCCGCGCGCGCGCGCGCTATCTGTGACTGGTCGCGCGACGCCGCCGTCCCCCTCTCTTCCGCGCCAGCGTGCTCCGCGCTGGCGGCCCGCGCGAGAGCTGGAGACGACTTGGGGTCTGAGGTGGCCCAGCATTCGTTCCAGCGAGCAGGGAGGGGGGGCGAGTTTCGAGGTTCTGGGTTCGAGACGGTTTGGCTGCCTTTTTCTGCGCCTGGGGGCCGTTGTCGTACCCGGGGACGGTCAACATATCATCCAGGGCGAAAAGCTGGCCCAGATGGGCTTCGGGAGGGGTCGGAGGACCGATTTTGAGCAGACTCATCCTGATCCCTCCCTCCTGACCAACTGTATCGGGGCCCGTCCAGCGCAGACCCCCTTGCCTCATCCAACGTGAGAGCCCACCGCGTGAGGCCATGCCACCTTGTGCGCAAGACCCCCTCTTCGTCCCTGGCCCACGGTCAAGGGAGGGAAAGCCACTCAGACCTCCATAACTTGCGGGCGCTACGCAGTCCCGCCCCGCTCGATTTCTTCCCCGCGTGCGTTTTCTCAAGGGCTTCGCTGGTCGGGGTGCTTCTTGTGAGGTGGTGGTCCTTTCTCCCCCTGCAAGGTGCCGCCAGCCCCTCGTGCCATGCTGGAGATGGGGCCCCCTGGACCTGCAGGGTGCTCGGGAGGCCGTGGATGCCTCCCTGGAACGTCTGGGGACGGGCCTGGCCGTTTGGGTGGAGCGAGGGACCGCGGTGGCTGCAGCCTCGGCGTCGGCCAGCCTGTCGGCTGGCCCACGCCGCACCCTCCTCCCTCCTTTCCTCTCCGCCGCACGCTGTGCTGCGTAACTGCTCCAGCTGAGCGGTGTAAAACAAATGGGGTCGTCTTTGCCCACGTTGGCGCGCAAGCTGCCCGCGTAGGCTCGCGCGTAGGCGCTCTCGTTGCCGAAGTGGCGTGCCGCGATGGCGGCCCGCGTAAGCCGCCGCGTAAGGTCGCTGTCTCTTCTCGCGTAAGACCCGTTTTTCTTCTGTCGCTCAAGTGCTCCCTGGGGACCAGGGACACCCCTGGCAACACCCGACGCTCCTCAGATGGCACCCACTCCCAGGGCCGTGCCCGGCCAGGGCCAGCCCTCGCCCCAGGATGGTGTCATAGGCCCGCCGACGACGACGACGCCGCAGCCGACGACGACAACGACGACGACGACGCCGACGCCGCCTCAACCAGGACGGCGCACATGTCTGGGAGGAAGAATATCGATACCGCTGCCTCTCCCTCGTCGCCACGACAGGATTCGCTTCGAAGTCCTGGTCAGATCGCACCCCAGTAGAAGTCTAGGGAGTAGTGGTATCGGTGCTGTCTGGCCCTCCCGTACGGCTCTAGCAGGGCACAGTTTGACACTGGCCAGGCGTGGTGGTGGTCTACAGGTTTCTTCTGCCTAGCCTTTACCGCTCAGGTGGCGTACCCAATGTACACCGGCGCCGGCCAGACCCAGCAGATGTACATGCCCGGCTCTGCCTTTCCCATGACTGCGGGCACGATGCCAGAGGCCAGCCCGCAGGCGCGTCGGGGGTTGGAGGAGGAGGAGGAGGAGGAGGAGGAGGAGGAGGAGGAGGGAGGAGGAGGAGGAGAAGGAGAAGGAGGAGGAGGAGGAGGGGGATGAGGAGGAGGCGGAGCAGGATGCTGCAATACACCTTCCCATTCCAAGTCAAGTCTCTGCAAGCCTTACTTTTCACTCGGAAATTCCCCCTTGAAAGACTCGCACCCAATGGGCACAACTATGCAATTTATTTTGAGGAAGTGTTCAGCGATAGTCCCATTTTTCCCAACCATCCTGTGGTGTTGGGTCCTCGTTTTGAAGAGACGGTGCCCCGCGTTCCTCTTCTCCTCCTCCTCCCCCTTCTCCCTCTTAGGGTTCGCATGCCTCCCCACCACCCATCTCGGCACACCCCTCACACGTTTCGTGGCCCCATAGGGAGCTCCACCGAAGGCCCCAGTGGCAGGGTTCGCATGCCTCCCCACCACCCATTTCGGCACACCCCTCACACGTTTCGTGGCCCCATAGGGAGCTCCACCGAAGGCCCCAGTGGCAGGGTTCGCATGCCTCCCCACCACCCATTTCGGCACACCCCTCACACGTTTCGTGGCCCCATAGGGAGCTCCACCGAAGGCCCCAGTGGCAGGTTCGCATGCCTCCCCACCACCCATCTCGGCACACCCCTCACACGTTTCGTGGCCCCATAGGGAGCTCCACCGAAGGCCCCAGTGGCAGGGTCCGCATGCCTCCCCACCACCCATTTCGGCACACCCCTCACACGTTTCGTGGCCCCATAGGGAGCTCCACCGAAGGCCCCAGTGGAAGGGTTCGCATGCCTCCCCACCACCCATTTCGGCATGCGGCACACCTCACACGTTTCGTGGCCCCATAGGGAGCTCCACCGAAGGCCCCAGTGGCAGGGTTCGCATGCTTCCCCACCACCCATTTCGGCACACCCCTCACACGTTTCGTGGCCCCATAGGGAGCTCCACCGAAGGCCCCAGTGGCAGGTTTCGCATGCCTCCCCACCACCCATTTCGGCACACCCCTCACACGTTTCGTGGCCCCATAGGGAGCTCCACCGAAGGCCCCAGTGGCAGGGTTCGCATGCCTCCCCACCACCCATTTCGGCACACCCTCTCACACGTTTCGTGGCCCCATAGGGAGCTCCACCGAAGGCCCAGTGGCAGGGTTCGCATGCCTCCCCACCACCCATTCGGCACACCCCTCACACGTTTCGTGGCCCCATAGGGAGCTCCACCGAAGGCCCCAGTGGCAGGGTTCGCATGCCTCCCCACCACCCATTTCGGCACACCCCTCACACGTCTCGTGGCCCCATAGGGAGCTCCACCGAAGGCCCAGTTGGCCAGGGTTCGCATGCCTCCCCACCACCATGTCGGCACACCCCTCACACGTTTCGTGGCCCCATAGGGAACTCCACCGAAGGCCCCAGTGGCAGGGTTCGCATGCCCCCCCACCACCCATTTCGGCACACCCCTCACACGTTTCGTGGCCCCATAGGGAGCTCCACCGAAGGCCCCAGTGGCAGGGTTCGCATGCCTCCCCACCACCCATCTCGGCACACCCCTCACACGTTTCGTGGTCCCATAGGGAGCTCCACCGAGGCCCCAGTGGCAGGGTTCGCATGCCTCCCCACCAACCATTTCGGCACACCCCTCACACGTTTCGTGGCCCCATAGGGAGCTCCACCGAAGGCCCCAGTGGCAGGGTTCGCAAGCCTCCCCACCACCCATTTCGGCACTCCCCACCACCCATTTCGGCACACCCCTCACACGTTTCGTGGCCCCAAAGGGATCTCCACCGAAGGTCGGGGGGAGCTTGACACTGGTATCCTTGCGGTACTCGCAGCTGCATATGGTTGGGTCCTTCGCCAGGCTAATTATAAGGAAGCGCGCTTCCTCCTTGTAGCATTGTTGCGCTTGCAACTTGAAAAACGAATATACGCGGCGCCAAGGCGAGAGTCCCACATGTAAAGCGACCTCCTCCATCAGTGTAGCTCTTGCATGCTTTTCAGCAGGAGGTGCGAGGCGCGACGGCAAGCACTTCATGTGAACCCCGCCCTCCATGCTTGCATAGGTTGGGGACTCTGAGAACCAACGTGCGCGGTGCTAAGACGAGAACCCGGTTCTGATTCCCCTTCCACTGTTGTACATGCAGATTCGGTGTCGTCCAATCGGCTTGCCTTGCCCGCCCAATCGGCCCGTTTGGTGTCGCGGAGGGAGGGGGGAGGGGGGAGGGGGGAAGGAGGAGGAGGGAGGAGGGAGGAGGGAGGAGGGAGGGAGGGGAGGGAGGGAGGGAGGAGGGAGGAGGGAGGCAGGGTGGGAGTTATCTGAAAGGAGCTGGGGACGAAGTGAGGAAGGGGGGAGGGAGGAAGGGGAGGGCAAGGAAGGGGAGGGCGAGGAGGGAGGGAGGAAGGAATGGATAGTGGGAGGAAGGAAAGTAGGGGGAGGGAGGGGAAGAAGGGAGCTGGGAGGGAGCGTGGGAGGAGGAGGAAGAGGAGGAGGAGGATGAGGAAGAGGATGAGGAGGAGGATGAGGAGGAGGAGGAGGAGGAGGAGGAGGAGGAGGAGGAGGAGGAGGAGGGGAGGAGGAGGAGGACCTTTGTAAACCCAAGAGTCACCAACGATGTTGGAATCAACTCTCCCCCCAAGCTCCCTCTTCACAGGCCCCTGCAACGGTTCATTTCCACAGAGGGACCTGTCTCGTTGGAAAACAACCGTTTGAAGACCCTGACGCATGCCAAAGCACTATTCTCAGTATTCCGACGCCACGGATTGACCTGATTATTGCGTCTTGACGATATTGAATCGTACCAGATCGCCATTCCTGGGACCTCAACTCCGCGAATCATCGTAATTGTTGCGCCCTCAAAATCGTGAATCCCTCCACAACACAATCTCTGGTACGTCGATCATGGGAATCCGTGAAACTCTTGTACTTGTTTAACAAGAATGTACGCGGCGCTGAGGCGAGAGTCACATTTTGAAAACGACCCGCCCTCAATCCGCGAAGCTCTTGCAAATTTTGAAAACGAATGTGCGCGGCGTTGAGGCGAGAGCCACATTACCGCCCGCCCTCGATCCGTGAAACTCTGGCAAATTTTGAAAACGAATGTGCGCGGCGCTAAGGCGAGAGCCACATTTTGAAAACCGCCCGCCTTCGATCCGTGAAACTTTGCAAATTTTGGAAAACGAATGTGCGCGGCGTTGAGGCGCGAGCCACATTTTGGAAACGACCCGCCCCCAATCCGTGAAACTCTAGCACAATTTGAAACGAATGTGCGCGGCGTTGAGGCGAGAGCCACATTTTCGATCGATCCACATTTTCGTCTTCTTTTTTCGAGCCACTAGTTTTTTTTTCTTAAGTTCGCCCTCTGCGCCCCTTTATCGGGCCCCGGGGTCATTAAACAGAGCTGAGGGACGAGAAGCTATCCCGGGGGAAAGTGTCGGGATCTTGTGGGGCCGCGCATTGAGAAGATCACGTCGTCGGCTGTCTGGGACGCGGGCGTGCAAGCCGCGCCGAGAGTCAGGGCGCACAAAACGGGTGGGTTGGGGGGAAGGGTGGGGCACGACATTTGCTGCGTGCATCTGGTTTCGGCACCGCCGCCTGTCGGCATTCTCGATGCATGGCCCCTCCTGGAGGTGCTGGGAAAGCCAGCTACATGTAGCTGGCTCGCTCCCCCCCACTCCCTCCCATTGCGAACCCCTGTGTTCGTCCAGCCCGAGGGGGGGGAGGAGGGGGAGGAGGAAGAGGAGGAGGAGGAGGGGGAGGCGGAGGATGAGGAGGAGGAGGAGGAGGAGGAGGGGGAGGAGGACCAGTGTAAATCCAAGAGTCATCAACGATATTGGAATGAACCCTCCCACCAAACTTCATAGGCCCCTACAAGGGTTCGTTTCCACTGAGGGAACTGCCTCGTTGGAAGACAACGGTTTGAAGACCCTGAAGCATGCCAAACCATTATTCTCGGAACTCCAACGCCACAGATGAACCTGACTGTTGCGCCTTGGCGATCCTGAATCGTACCAGAACGCCATTCCTGGACCTTTAACACAGCGAATCGATGTAACTGTTGTACACTAATGATCTCAAATCTTTCCAGACCGCCATGTCTGGTACGTTGACCATGGGAATCCGTGAAGGAGGAATGTGCGTGGCGCTAAGGCGAGAACCACATTTGAGAAAGGACCGCCCTCATTCCGTGAAGCTCTTGCAAATTCTTAAAACGAATATGCGCGGCGCTGAGGCGAGAGCCACATTTTGGAAACGACCCGCCCCCAATCCGTGAATCTCTAGCATATTTTGAAACGAATGTGCGCGGCGTTGAGGCGAGAGCCACATTTTGAAAACGACCCGCCCTCCACCTGTGAAACTGTTGCCAATTTCTAAGCTTCAGGGTCATAAGTTGTGAGGAAGTCTCAGGCGAAACGCCCAGCCCGCCCTAAAAATGGTTTCGGGGTGCGACAGGGAAAATTTATTTACAAGGAGGAGGAGGAAGAGGAGGAGGAGGAGGAGGAGGAGGAGGAAGAGGAGGACGACTATTTTTTCTCCCTGCAGCAATCAGAGGCGGCTTAGACATGAGTTGAGTTATTTAGAGACGTGCTGCACTGAACTTGTGCCAGGCTCGCTGGCACCAGCATGAATGGCGGCTGCTAGCCGTCAAACAGCTGTAAACATGTCAGCCAGCGTGGCCCCTTAACAATGTGTTGTAACAATGTATGTTGTGCGAGCTATGTGTTGCATTCTAGATTGTGCAATACATGTTGTGCAATCGATGTGGTGCAACCTATGTCGTGCAATTCTTGACGCTTCGCGTTCCCCTGGCTTCTTCGCTGGACCGCCCGGGATCACTCTGTGGACGGTTGTGTGCAGGATCAGTACTCCCTTCAGGAGTCTCGGTGTGCGAGTTTGGTGGCGCCACCCTACGCACCAGTCTTTGGCCAGTTTGGTTTCCTGGTAGCTTGCAGTGTACTAGTGGTGGTCTTGGCCACATCCTGGTACCACCCCCGCGCCATTTTGTCTGCGCCCCAACCTGGTTGGCTAATCGTGCATGTGCGCGCTCCTGGGCCTGGTACCTGGCAGCTGCAGCCCGCACCCTCTCCCGCCGGCCCGCCCGCTTAGGTGCTTCTTAGGTCGTCGGCCCGTCGGCGCTAGGCAATTAGGCTCTTGCGCGGCCCGCTTGGACCTTACTCGCCGCCGGCGCTCTCGCCCGCGGCTGCGACGGAAAAGTATCCCCGCCAGCGGTTTCGCTCGTGGCCCGGGCTGACTTCGGACGCCGCGTACGCCTTCGCTTGCGGCCGCGACCAAAAGTATCCCCGCCAACGCGGGCCTTTCTTTCGTCGTGGCTTCCTTATACGCGCCCGATGTTCGCCTGCTGGCCTCTTCGGGGATTCTCCAGGGCTCCTGGGCCCGCGGCTCGCCTTGAGTCTGCCGCCTCTTTCCGCCCGGGGTAGACGGACACCCAGTCCTCCCCCACGTTGCGTTCCCCAGGGCCTGCTCATGTCCCCTGGCGTTGGCTCTCGCCGACTCAGTCTTCCGCCGGAGTTTGGCTTCCTCTCACCGATTCGTCGCACCATCCGGTGTCCGTCGATCCGGAATTTCCGTCAATCGCCTGCACGTCATGTTCCTCCTCTTCTGGGCCGAGGACTTCAATTACTTCGTGGTGCTGCACGTCGCCTTGCTGTTCGCCGGGTGCTAGCGCTCTCCTGAGCGGCAGTGAGGTTCGCCCACTGCTCGTCTCTTCCGCTGTCTTTTCTCTCGTTGTCTCTTCTGTCCCCTCTCTTGCGCAATTTAGGCCGTAGTTAGCGCGCTATGACTTTGACGGCGTGCGGCACCTCCGTATCGCTTGCGATCAAAAAGTATTCCCGCCAGCGTTTGCGACGATCAGTCGCTGTCCCCCCCCCTCTCCCCCACTTCCAGGCCGGAGCCGACATCGAACAGGATCGATCGGATCGGAGTGGGCCCCGAGCGAGGAGTCGTTAGGAACTTAACGACTTCTAGCGTCCCTCGACTCGCGCTGGGGCGGCCAAGATTTGCCCCACATTTCCCTGAATATCCCTGGATATAGATCGATGGATATACCTGGACTCATCCGAGTTTAGCCAGACTGACCTCGATGTAGCTGCTGCTACCGCAAACCGATTGACGAAAAGTCATCAAACCCGTAAGGAGGGAGGGGGGGGAGAAGGAAGGACGGCCTCCCGTGCGAGGGCAGGGTGGGCGTGGCCGACTCGACTTCGATCCTCCGACGACCCGACGTGGCCCGATGTTTGCGTGGCGCTGTCCGATCCCATTCCGACCCCGCTTGCCGATGCGGCTCCATCTGATGCGCGTCCCGGTTCGACCCGATTTCCTGATTCGGTGCTGTCCGATCGCGCCTTTCGCAGCAGCAGCAATAGCAGCAGCAGCAAGAGTCCCACCCGCCCCCCACCCTCCCCCACATCATTCAGGAGAGGAAAAAACACACAGACACAATCAATCCTCGATTCTTCAAAAAATATGGGAAATATGGGAAGTGGGGGGGGGAGACGAAAACCGTAAAAATACGAGAAAATATGGGGAATCATTTTATTTGTGTGTATTTATTTGTGTGTCCGGGGGCCCCTTCAGTCTCCCCCGGTGTCCCCGGGCCAGGCGGCTCCCTGGCGGCCCGGGGAGCCCACCGCGGCCCCCCGGGCACCCCGCGGGAGGCCCCGCGGGGGCCCCAAGGCTCCCGCACGGCGCCCAGAGTCGGTGGCACCCTGGGCCGGCGCCGCTCGTGGCCCCCCCTCCCCTCCTCGCCTCCTCCTCCTCCTCCTCCTCCTCCTCGTCGTCCTCCTCCTCCTCCTCCTCCTCCTCGTCGTCGTCCTCCTCCTCCTCCTCCTCGTCCTCCTCCTCCTCCTCCTCCTCCTCCTCCTCCTCCACCTCCTCCTCTCCTCTCCTCCTCCCTCCTCCGCCTCCTCCTCCTCCTCCTCCTCCTCCTCCTCCTCCCTCTCCTCCTCCTCCTCCTCCTCTCCTCCTCCTCCTCCTCCTCCTCCTCCTCCCTCCTCCTCCCTCCTCCTCCTCTCCTCCTCCTCCTCCTCCCCTCCTCCTCCTCCTCCTCCTCCTCCTCCTCCTCCTCCTCCTCCTCCTCCTCCTCCTCCTCCTCCTCCTCCTCCCCTCCTCCTCCTCCTCCTCCTCCCCCCTCCTCTCGCCTCGCCTCGAGCAGGCGCGGCGAGGCGGGCCGACGCGCGGGGCGGCTCCCGCCGCTCCGCGTCGGCGCGCTCGGCCTGCGGGCTCCGCGCCGCGGCCGCGCCGCGGGCCCCGAGAGCCCCTCGCCGTGCCGCGGGGGGGGGCCCCGCTCGGTGGCCGCCGCCCGGGCGGCGCCCGGCCCCCTCGGGTAGGCCTCCTCCTCCTGCTCCTCTTCCTCCTCCTCTCTCCTCCTCCTCCTCCTCCTCCTCCTCCTCCTCCTCCTCCTCCCCCTCCTCCCCTCTCCTCCCCGCTCCTCCTCCTCCCCCTCCTACTCCTCCTCGGGCCCGTCGGCCGGGCCGGGCCCCCGGCCCCCTCGGGTAGGTGGAAAAAGTCCCGACGGGATTTTTCCGCTCTTTTCGGCTTCGGGGGTAGGTCGAGGAACTTCCTCAAGCGGTGGAGCGGGGTGCGATTCCATTCTCTTTCAGAGAGGGTCTGCGCATTAGATTTTCGGTATGCTGCAACGCACTTTCGCGCAATTTGCCCATATTTTCTAACTTCTTGGGATACGCCGGAGGCGGCCGAGGCGGCCGAGGAGTTTTTCCGCTCTTTTCGGCCTCGGGGGGTCCTCTCCAGGCCTCGGGACCGTCAATCGACGACCCAGGACGAGAAGCTGGTCCTGGGGAATGGGTCGAGGTTGAAAAAGTCCCGACGGGAGTTTTTCCACTCTTTTCGGCCTCGGGGGGTCTTCGCCGGGCCTCGGGACCGTCAAACGACGATCCATGCAGGACGAGAAGCCGGTCCTGGGGAAGTGGGTCGAGGCTTCGTGGGGCCGCGTGCGGCAGGAGTCACGACCTGGGACCTCTGGCTCCCCTGAGGCCCCGGCGCTGCACTCTTTTCTCGCCGGGCGTTTTCGCTCTTCTTTGGGGCCCCGGGGCCCTCGCAGCTCGACCTGGCTCGAAAGATGGCGCAGACAGATGGGGCCCCGCGGGGTGGCCGGCAGCGTCGGCTCTCAGGGCCCGCTCGGGAGCCCGAAGTGCAGAGTCCTCTCGACCCGCCTCTCGGGCGGGCGCGCGGCCAGGCGCGTGCTCCCGGCCACCTCCCGTGCGGGTCGCGCCCTGCCGCTCGCGCTCCTGGCTTCTCTCCCGCCCGTGCAGCGCGGCCCCGCCGCCGTCCTCCTCGGGAGGCGCCCCGCGCACGCGCGCGGAGCGGAGTCGGCGCTCGCGCGTTTCGCCTCGCTCGCTCGCCCGTGCAGCGAGGGCGCAGCGGGTGTGCGCGGGCGGAGGCCCAGGCGACGCCTGGCGAAGGGGGCGAGGGAGGGAGGGCGGAGGGAGCTCGCGCTGGAGTTCGCCGGTGTCCACGAAAGCTTGGTGGCGACTTCTTGAGGTGAGCGGGGAGACCGGGCGGGCCCCCGCGGAGGCGGGCTGGGGAGGGCGGGGGGAGGGCGGAGGGAGGAGGCGCAGGGAGGAGGCCAGGAGTTGGATGCAGGGGGGGGGGGGGGCGGGGAGGGAGGGGCGATGCAGCGGCGGCACGGGCCCTGCGGCCCAGAGGCCGACCCCTACGCGAGCAGCGCCACTGGGCCGGACCCTGCGCTGGGCACCTCGGCGCCGACGGGCATGGCCGGGACCGGGACCTCGGCTCCCCCGAAGAAGTCCGCGGTGAGCAGCAAGAAGACGACCGGGAAGAAGACTGCCACCAAGAAGAAGAAGGGCGGCTGCTGCTGAGGGCTCGGCGGGGCATTCGTCCCATCTCTCTCTTTCTCTCTCTCTCTCTCTTTGATCTATCTCTTGATATGTCACCGATTCTAGGTCGAGGTGGCCCCCCCCCCCCCTGCGCCAGTCCCCCCGTGGGGCAGGTTCGTGTCGTATCGACGTGGCGGCGACCCCGCCGCGGGCGTTCAAGGTTGAACACCGCCAGTGGCCTAGACCCTAGACTCGGCCAGCACGAGACGAGCCGGCGATCGGAAAGTCGCCGATTGTTCAAGGTTGAACGATACACGTATGCGACTGCGAAACGACGGCAGACATCGACATGGGCTCTGACCACCGAGCGCTTCGGATGAAAGCCCAGATTCCGACTGCAAGTGCTGACTCGCAACAACCACCCACGCGGAAGAAACGCAACAACAAACAAATGCCGAATTGGCCACCATGCGATCTTTTGTTATACCAGGAGCGTCTCACCGACAAGTTGGATGACATGCTGATGGACTTGCGGATCCAATTGAAATGTGAAGATGCAGATTTACGGTGTAACGAGATAGAGGCCGCAATCAAATCAGTGCTTTTGGACATGCAAGCGGAGACAGGCAGACTGGCGAACAACAGCTGGCAAGGAACGACCACGCAGCTATCATCGCTACTGCAGGAACCCAGCGACCGATTTCGTAAGCAGGAGGTTTCTGAACAAAGCCATACGGAAAGAAATTTGAGCCATAAAGAGAGCAACGCAACGCTCCCATATCGTTTTTATTCTTACACAATACAAGAATCTCAAGCGCATCAGCGGCATCAAATCCCACAAGAAGAAAGATATGATTCCGAGCATGGTCAATACAGATGGCGAAGCGCAGCACGACAGACAATCAATGGCTGACTTCTTGGCTGCAATTGACGAGAATCTGTACCAAGACAACGACCGAGGGTCGCAACCGACTGCAGACGCGACTCGCCTTGTAATCCCAGCATTTACGAGTCAAGAACTCGACATTGCTCTACGACAACTCAAATCAGACCGGGCGGCTGACTCAAGCGGTATCATAGCAGAGATGCTCAAGAATGGTGGCATGGTGGCGGCTCTTTGAAGGAAACTTTTTTGAATCTGTACAACAGCGTCATCAGGCCGACGGCGCCAACGCCAAGCAGCTGGAAGAACACGGTCATCAAGGTCATCCACGAAAGCGGCAATCGCGAGCTTCCGCATAACTACCGACCTATAGCAATCATCCCGTTGCTATACAAATTTTTCTCACGACTGCTGTACAACCGGCTACGTCCTATTCTTGACCCTCAGCAAAGCAGTGACCAGGCGGGTTTCCGACCGCACCGCAGCACGTGCGACCACCTGGTCACGATCACGATGCTCCACGAGACTGCTGACGAGTGGACGCTGCCATTGTGGACTGCAACGGTAGTTTTCAAAAAAGCCTTCGACACAGTGACCCATCAGAGCATTTGGCGAGCAGAGCAGGCAAAGCGTTGACCGGGCGTGGGATGTTCGAAGTACAGCAAAAGTGTGACATGAAGACGAAAGGGAAGTACGAGTGTGAGTCGTCCGAAAAGTGGAAGTATGAAACAAGTAGGGAAAAAGTAAGAAAAAAGTATGGGGGAAATGTGAGTATGAAAAAAGTATGAAGAAAAGTATGAAGAAAGTGTGGGGGGAAATGGAAGTATGAAAACGTATGGAAAATGTACGGAACATTTCACGGGAAAGGAGAGTATAAAAACAATGAAGAGGTGTGTGTGTGTGGGGGATACGAAACCGCGAAAAACATTAAAATGACATGCGCATGGAATTATTACACAAGTGCGAGACACGCGTGGAACAGCAAATCGCCTCCGGGGGCCCCGGCGACGGGCCCGATCGCGTGGAAACCGTATGGTTTGACGTTGGCCCTGAACGGTGACCGACTGGATTTTGAAGTTAGCATGGGTGTGCGTGAATGGAATCTGTGGTGGGCAACACAGAACTCCTTTCGCGCGCGCCCGCGCGCGCTCTGAGAGTTTTGTATTGCCCATAATGGAAAAGTCGCCATGTTGGCCTGGCAATGAAAGTGGGCCCTTAACGGCGACCGATTGGATTTGAAGTTAATCCGGGTGTGCGTGAATGGAATCTGCGATGGGCAACGCAGAACTCCTTTCGCCCGCGCGCGCTCGGAGGGTTCTGTTTTGTCCACAATGGAGAAGTCGCCATGTTGGCCTGGAAAGTACAGTCATTCCATGACGGTGACCAATTCGATTTTGAAGTTAACATGTGGTGACGTGAGCGGAGTCGGGCATGGGCACCACGCGCGCGCTGCGGCCTGTTTTGACCACAGTGGAAAAATCGCCATGTTGGCCTGGGCAACTAAAGTGGACCCTTAACGGTGACCGACTGGACCTTGAAGTTTACCGGGTGTGATTGAATGGAATCTGGATTGGGCATCGCAGAACTCCTTTCGCGCGCGCTCGGCGTGTTCTGTATTGTCCACAATGGAAAAGTCGCCATGTTGGCCCGGATAGCAAAATGAGCCCTTAACGGTGACCGATTGGATTTTTGAAGTTAACGTGTGATGACGTGAGTGGAGTGGGGCATGGGCAACACGCGCGCGTTGCGGCGTGTTTTGTCAACAGTGGAAAACTAAAGTGGACCCTTAACGGTGACCGCTTGGATTTTGAAGTTCACCCGCGTGCGTGAATGGAATCTGTGATGGGCAACGCAGAACTCCGTTCGCGCGCTCGGCGAGTTCTGTATTGCCCACAAAGGAGAAGTCGCCTTGTCGGCCTGACGGTGACCGACTTGATTTTGAAATTAACATGTGGGGACGTGAATGGAGTCGGGCATGGGCAACACGCGCGCGCGCGCTGCGGTTGCTTTGTCCACAATGGAAAAGTCGCCATGCTGCCTGGGCAACTAAAGTGGACCCTTAGCGGTGACCGAATGGATTTCGAAGTTCAACCGGGTGTGCGTGAATGGAATCTGCGCGGGGCAACGCAGAACTCCTCTCGCGCGCGCGCTCGGCGGGTTCGGCATGTCGCCATGTTGTCCGGGAAAGCAAAGTGAACCCGTAACGGTGACCGATTGGATTTTGAAGTTAACATGTGGTGACGCGAGTGGAGTCGGCGGGCGGCGGCGGGCCCCGTGTTCAGGTTGGAGAAATGCGTTGCCCAAGCCATCCCCAGAGGAACCGCCGAAGCCACTGCAGCACTGTATTCCCGCCTGCGGTAATGTAGTTCCGCACTGCAGTAATCCCACTTCCGCACTTCGTCGCGGAGGCCGGTGGGGCCGTCCAGAAGTATTGCTGCGCAAGTCCGCTGGTCTTCTGACATGGGAAAACCTGTTATATGACAAGTTGATGATGATCATTCTTCCGGTGGCGACCTTCCCGAGAGATGAGCAATGCTGCTTCCAATCATGATTTGCACCAGCTCGCCATTAATCTTCACCCGAGTTGCCGCCGATGTGGCGCGACGGGCTTTGAGCCGACATCCGGCAGCTTTCGACAAGCCCGGGTCGCGACGCCATTGTGGCGATGGCCGGGCGTTGGCAGGGGCCCCGCGCCGCGATCCCGCGCAGCGCGCGGGCGAATGTCCGGGCGACGCGGGCGGCGTTTGTCGCGGAGCGGGGGAGGGGCAGTGATTGCGGCCGCGAGGGCGCGCCCCTCGGCAGGCGCGCGCTCGGCGCGCGCGCGCGCGTTTCCGCCGGGGGCGCGGGCGCAGCGCGCGTCGTTGTTTCTTTTCCCGAAAATTGCAGCGTGCGCTTCATTCCATCGTCGGCGGAAGCCGACCGATTTTCTGCATGGGCTATTTGCCGGGCGTTCGCGAAACAAGTCCGCGCCCCGTGCCCCGCGGGCCCGCCAGGCCGCGCCGCGCACGGACGCGATGCGCGGGGGCGTCGCGCAGGGTGGTGGGCGGGCGGGGCGAGGCGCGGCGGGGGCGCCGCCCCCGCTTTCGCTTTTTTTTTCGAATCGCGCCGCCCGACGCTTGGCGCCACTCGCCAATGGCCGGGTGCATGGGCGAGCTGCGGGCCGAAGGCCGCCGCCGAAGCGACGCTTTGGCCGCGGGCTTTCGGGGTCCTTGCAAGCGGGGCTGGGCCCTGCGCCCCAGAGTCCCGCGGCCCCTGGCGCGAGTGCCCCAGTCGAGCAGATTCCGAGCATGCGCGGCCGTGGCTCGCGGCCAGTTGGGCCTGGGCCTCGGCCCGGGGCCCCGGGCCCCCGCCCCCCGACAGGCCGGGCGCCCGCCGGCGCGTTCGCGCGCGCGCCCGGGGGAGGGGGGGGGCACATTTTTTTCAAATTTCTAAATGCAGGCAAACTTTTCATTTTTGTTTCAGGTTTTTTGTTGTTCAAAACTTTTTCGGATTTTTTTTTTTTTTTTTTTTGTTTCTTCAATTTTTTCGACCTTTTTCCAAACTTCCAAGTCGGCCCATTTTTTATTATATATATATACATACATATATATATATATATATATATAAAACCTTTTCATTCTTTTTTCGCTCTCTTTTTTTCAAACTTTCTCAAAATTCCAAATCCAGGCAAAGTTTTCCCCCCCGCACTTTTTCGCATTTTTTTCAAACACTTTTCCGCACTTTTTTACATTTTTCACACTTCTAGAGCCAGGCGAACTTTTTTCAAACTTTTTTCAAACTTTTTTCAAACTTCCAAGTCGTCCCAAATCCTTTTTCATTTTTCACACTTTTTTCGAACATCTTTCATTTTTCAGATTTTTTTCAAACTGGTTTTCATTTTTTCATTTTTTTCAAACTTTCAAATTAAACCCGGACGAACGTTTTTCATTTCCTTTTTTTTATGAAAAATTGTAAAAATATAAAAATTTTTAAATCTGGGCCCAGGGGCCGCTGCTCGGGCCCAGCCCTGGTGGGCCGGGGCCCTGAAGGCATCGGGCGCGGGCTCCGCGCCCATGCTTGCGGGCGTCGAGACTCTGGGGCGCGGACCCTCGCCGTGTATGCGCGCGCCCGGCGACGGGGCCAAGCGTGCGCCGACGCGCAGGCGCGGGCGCTGACCCGT